AGGATATTTTTTCCATTGTTTTTCAGAGAGAGTGGAAGGGAGAAAAAAAGACAGAGAGAGAGAGAAAAACATCAATGTGGAAGAGATACATCAATTGGTTGCATCCCGCACTCGCCCCGACAAAGGCAGGGGATTGAGCCTGCAACTGAGGTACATGCCCTATGGCAGGAATCGAACCTGGGATCCTTCAGTCCACAGGCTGACGCTCTAAGCACTGAGCCAAATAGGCTAGGGCTGGCCTCATCATGTTTTTAATTAAACGTTTTCTTAATGTGAAATAATGAAAAGTGCTGAGAGTGGTCATATGTTTGAGCACATCCCCCAAATTGCTAGCAGAGTAGCAGGATTTTGTTACAAGCTCATGGGTGAGTTCGAGCAGGGCGATTTTCCAGCTTTAATGATCCTACAGCATAGGCATTGTGTTTGAGATTATTATTTCCTGCAAATGTTTTGTAAAGAACGACTTTTAAAATTCAGGTTATACATTGATGTAATTTGTGCTTAAATATACCGTAAACTAGCCAAGCAAAAACAACATAATAAGGAAAATGGCCAGGAAATATCGTATTGTGGAACTAAGAATAAAGACACAAAAAAGAATTAGTTGCCTGGAAGATTTGAGCTAAATGAGTGTTTTAAAAATAACACAATTGAGTTGATTTTTAATTGAATTTTCTTCAGAATGATCTTCCTGGTTAGAATAGTTTTCACCAGACAGAGAGAAGGTGGATATTTTTTTCAATATAGATACCTTCTGATAAATTTCTAAGGAAATATTAGAAATAAATGATGGCAATTTAGCATGATTAGGTTGGTCTGGAATTGTATTATTTTCACAGAGATTGTAATAGTATCTTTGATACTAGATTGACACATTCAGTATTTAGCAGAAGAAAAAAAGTGAGTGGTCAGAGTAGTATTCGTCCATTTATCTGGGAATGCAAAGAAGACTGAGGCCAAATGAACAGAAAAAACCTAATTCATTATAGCATAACAATAATGGAAATAAAGGCAAAAAGAAAAAATAATATATATATATATTAAATATATCTTTATCATTTCAGAGAGAGGAAGGGAGAGGGAAAGAGAGTTGAAACATCGATGATGAGAGTCACTGATCGGCTGCCTCCTGCTCATTCCCTACTGGGGATCGAGCCCGCAATCTGGACATGTGCCCTGACCTGGAATCGAACTGTGATCTCCTGGATCCTAGGTTGATGCTCAACCCCTGAGCCACACCAGGCTGGGCAAAAAAATAATCTTTTTAGCTGAAAGGAATTTAAGGTGCAGTCTAAAATATGTGATAAATATGAGATTATCTTCTCACCATATTTTCTGTCCTCCGACAAATAGTTATTGCTGAGGAAAGCAATGTTTTGAGCTGAATAAAGTGCTAGCTATATAAAAAAATGTATAAAGTATAGTGTATATTTTGAAGGTCTCATTGAGAAGATAAGACAAAATGAAAAGAACTCCATGGAGTAATTAATAAGTAACATTTGCTTAGTACTTGGAAGTTTGGAATGTAGTTTTAGGTACCATTTTGTAAGTTTAAGAAATACATTTCTAGATTTCGTTCTTCTATTGGAGTTTCCTTTGGTTTTACCTGTGGAAGACAGGATTAACTCTAGGATTGTGATTACTTCTTAGCTTTACTTCAGTTTTCTCAGCCTTTCTTATGGGTCTAGAGAGAGTGAGAAAGATCGATCGGTTGCCTCCCATACACACCCGAACCCTGACCGGGAATCGAACCCATCACCTTTTGGTGTACAGGGAGGATGTTCCAAACAATTGAGCCACTTGGCTGGCCAGAGATAAGTGTTTTATCTTGTTGTCAGATCATGTGACCTGACTTCTGGTTAAGAAAATATGGTCACCTTATCTCCTTGTGGCCTCTACTCCTTATCACTTAGTCACTAAATGACTTTTAACTTTCCTGTTATATACTCTGAATATATAGCTATCTATATTATATTCTGAAATTATATTTTCAGAGGTAATCTTATTGTCAAATCCAGTGGTCTTTTTTCCCTCCTGTTAGTTTTCCTTAACCTCTATTCAGTTCTATTCATTGGCCTTTTTTTTTTTTTTTTTTTTTAAACATATCTTTATTGATTTCAGAGAGAGGAAAGGAAGGGGAAGAGAGAGAGATAGAAACATCAGTGATGAGAGAGTCATTGATCGGCTGTCTAGCCCGCAACCCTGGCATGTGCCCTCACTGGGAATCGAACCCCAATCTCCTGGATCCTAGGTCGATGCTCAACTGCTGAGCTACGCCTGGCCGGGCTCATTGGCCTTCTTGAAATGTCTAGGATTCTAGAGACCTAGGACTTTAGTTGTCTTCCAATATACTATATGATTCTTTGTCTCCTTTCACGAATTTTCTTTTTGCCCCCCACCAGCCCCATTCTTCTAAATCTGAAATGGTTTACTTTCTTATGGGCAGCTGGAGCCACACAGATTTCTTTAAGGCTCAGGAATGTTCTTTTTGCATATCCATCTCCAGTATTTACTTCTAGGACTCCTCCAGGCTGAAATTATTGCCTTCCCCCAAGCTTTAGTTCAGTTTTTATACCTTCTGAAGCTTGCCTTGCTCAGTAATTAATTTGCCTTTAAATTCTCAGGCATTTGGCCCTCCCTACCTCATACTGTTAATAAACTGTGTTAATGTGTCACTTCCTAGTTAGAATGCAAAATCCTTGAACATAAGGGCTGTGCTTTAGCTTTTTTTTTTGGTTTGCTTGGTAGGAAATAATGAACATAATACTCAAATATTTATTGACTGAAAAAGGCACAATATATTCTATGGTTTCAATACAACACAGTCAACACGTACATTTTGTTGAGGTGTGAACATTAAATTTTTCTTTTCTTTTTGGCTTTTCCCATCGTGAACGGCAATTCTTCTTCTAAAGGTACCATATGCAACATTTTAGAAGCCATAAAAGAATTAGAAGATGGTAAAAGCAGGCCTCTAGGAGATAGCGGGAATGGATATTTACAAAGGCTGCTACAATGTGCCAGACACTGTGCTTTGCACTGTAAGGATTTTTTTTCCAAAAGACACAAGAAACTGAAGTTCAGGGAGCTTAGAAGGTTCCTCAAAAAGTAAGTGGCTGTGCTGAGTTTCAGAAACCTAGGTCTGCCTGGTTTCAAAGGACAAGGCAGTTTTAGTATCGGATGATTGTTAGAATTAAATGACATTTTCCTTAAAAAGCACTAGGCCCAGGAGCTGGCACTCCACAAATGTTGCGGTCACACACATGTTCTGGGGACTGGGTGGGTATACTTAGACAAGGGGGATAAAAGCTGGCAGAATTAATTACACTTGTTTCTAACTCTTCATAAAGGCTGTTTGATTACAAGAATCCTTTGCCCTTCTTCAGGCGGAGGACAGAAAAAAATGCCTGGCAATATTTCAAATCATGAATACCCTCCTCCCCGCCTCATGTGACAAATTATACTTCTAAAAGAGAACAGGGATTTAAAAATCGTCCTAAAGGAAGCCAATCATGTATTCCTGTAAAATAGAAGTTATTTCGTGCTTTGGGTTTTTTTCCGACGAAGAAATGCTCCTGATGCGTAAGGAACTTTGCAAGGCAAAGAGCGGAGTCCCGGTAGCAGCTGCGCCCCCGGAGGTGGAAAGCCAGCGGGTCCCCTCGACCTCGCCGCCGCTGTTCTTTTAGGTCCCCCCGAGCCTGCCGCCTGGGAAAGCGGGGCAACGCGGGCTCACGGTGCCTATCAGCAAAAACTCTTTGTAGTCACCGAACCACCAACCGTGCAGAAGCTCCCTCCCAGCGCAGGACTAACCGCACTTCCT